GCATGTTTTATTTATTTATTTGTTTGTTTGTTTTGTTTATACATGCACTGGGTACAGTCAGAATCGCGGGAGGGTGAGAGAATTCACCAGAGTCAGAGCAGGGAGCAGAGCAGGCAGAAGGACCGAAGTACACTGCTGAGGGGAGCAGCGGGCGGCAGGAGAGGTCTGCGCGCCATGTGGGACCCTCCTTTGGTGGCCGGGGAGCAGCCGGGGGTCGAACGGGCGCCGCAGAGGCCACAGGCAGCTTCGCAACCTAGCGCTCAACTGCTGCGCCACCGGGGAGGCCCTAATTTACAAGTTTTATCTATTAAGTCCACTTTCTCAACCTCCTGAGGGAAAGTTTTTACTTACTGCTTTCAAAGTCCGGTGTATGGGGCATACTTTTCTGTATCTTTGCATGTCTTGCAATTGTTTTTGAAAACTGGACATTTAAAATCATATAATATGGCAATTCTGAGAATGAGTTTTCCCTGATACTCTCTTTCCCCAGGGTTTGTATTATTTTGTTTTTTGTTGTTGTTGCTGCCAATCATTCAATTGTTTAGTGACTTTCTTGGACTAATTCTGTCCAGTTTGTATCTTTTATTGTGTATTGCCACTGAAGTCTCTGTTTAGCCAGCTTAGTGGTCAGAAATAACTGCACAGAGATTTCCTTAAATGCCTTGAACCAACATGTCTCCCTGGTTTTGTTAAGAATTTCTGCATATGTATTTTTTTTTTTCCTCTTTCATTTTTTTTTTTAAATTTTATTTTTATATTCCCCCATACAATTGCAAACGCCCCATTCTGACCCCAATCCTTCCCCTCCCGCCCCACCCCCCAAAAAGTGTCTCTGGTTCATAGTTTTTTGTTGATTTTGATTTTCACTTTCTTATATTCATTTTCCTGGTCCCTTATTTAAGTTTTCTAGATTCCTGCTATGAGTGAGACCATCCGGTATTTTTCTTTTTCTTTTTGGCTTATTTCGCTGAGCATGATCCCTTCCAGCGCCATCCATGTTGCTGCAAATTCTGCATATGTATTGATACATACCTTCAATGATCCAAGCTTAAAATTCTGCCTTAGCCTTTCTTCCTGCTTGCACAAAGCCTCAAGATTATCCAGAGATGGTGGCGCAATGGTCGAGCGCTGGGCTGCGAAGCTGCCCGCAGCCTCTGCAGTGCTGGTTGTATCCCTGGCCGGCCGCTGGGCGAGGGTCCCACATGGCGCGACAGACCTCGCCTGCCGCGCCCACTGCTCCCCTCAGCAATGTATTTCATCACTCTGCCTGCTCTGTTCCCCGCTCTGGCGAATTCTCTCACCGTCCGGTGCTCCTGACTGTACCCAGTGCTTGTATAAATAAATAAATAAATAAATAAATAAATAAATAAATAAATAAATAAATAAATAAATAAATAAATCTTAAAAAAAAAAAGATTATCCAGAGATGAGTGATTTTGTATTCTCATGTCTTTCTTGGGCATGTGCACAGCTCTGCCCATGAACATGGATTTTTAGATTTCTAGACATATGTGAAGAAATTTTAAAGTCCCCATGACATCTCATTCTCCAAATTTTTCTCTTTCAAGTTTTTGATCAGTCAATTGGTGTCAGTGGCTCAGAAAGCTGTAGTGTTAAACAATTTCCACTGATTGTTTTCAACAAACTGAGTGAAAGAACTGTTGGCACTAAGTGAGTTCTGAGTCATGTTAAATAAAGAGAGTCCTGGAAAAGGTACTTTTCTAGGGAGCTGCCTTGCAGCTCAAATAGTGATGGTTCTCTCTGGGGATGCAACTTTGGGGTAATCCCCAAACCTGTTCTGTCCCCTCAAGTGGCTGTTACACTGCTCATTTTCATATGGATCACTGTTGTCAGGTTGCTCTTCTTCAAGGCTACCCTCTGGGGAGAGAAAAATGGGACTCGCACAAATGAAAATACCATGAAGCTCACAATTCTTAGGGAGATTCATTTTTCTTTAATAAACACTCCTCATGTTGCAAACATTTAGCTAATTTCTAGAGTTTTGAAGAAGTTGATTTTGACAATTTTTGCCAGTGTTCCCACTGTTTCCCATTCAGGAAGTGCTTTTCCTTTTTGCCAATTTTTTTTTTTTTTATATTTATTTTTATTTATACAAGCATTGGGTACAGTCAGAAGCACGGGAGGGTGAGAGAATTCACCAGAGCCAGAGCGGGGAGCAGAGCAGTCAGACTGACAAAACACACTGCTGAGGGGAGCAGCGGGCGGCAGGAGAGGTCTGCACACCATGTGGGACCCTCCCCGGTGGCCGGGGAGCAGCGGGGGGGGGGGGGGGGCGGGCCCGGTGGCCGGGGAGCAGCCGGGGATTGAACCGGAGCTGCAGAGGCTGCGGGCAGGTTTGCAACCCAGCGCTCAACCGCTGCGCCACTGGGGAGGCCCCTTGCCAATTTATTTTTAAAGTGTAGCTCATGTCCCTCCTTTAACCCCACTATACTTAGCCCCTAGTTTATCATGCTGCAAACTAGACTCCCTCTAGAGGCAGAGGGGGTGGTTTGTTGCTTAAGGTATTGACCTAGATGTTTTAAAGTTGTGAGAATTACCTTTTTGTTAATATAATTTATTTAATTGTAAAATTTATGTAATATAATTTTAAATAATGGCTGTGTTTACCAACTGGCATACAGAATTCCTAAAGATTTAAGAATTGTTCTCAAGTGCTGGTCCCAACTGGCGCCAGTTTATCAATGACAGGACCCTCAGGGAGGTACCTATTTAATCCAATTTAGCCCTACAATCATTGAGGGTATTCGCTTGGTGCCAGACTTCCAGAAACTCAAGCACATCCAGTATCAAATGAACTCCATATCTGTCAGCACGAGTCGCTAGGCAGAACTTCTGGCAGGACAGACCAACTGATGGTAGGGTTTTCCAAATGATGGCTTGGCATGGGAGAAAAACTGGAAAAAGCTGAGCACATATGTGAATGACTATGGGAACACCAAAATATATTACATCTAATTTTAGGGAACAAATCCCAAACGATGCCAGAGGCTATTTTCTGACTGCTATGTGAAACTAAACAAGCAGACTTTCGTTTGTTTTATAAATTCTCTGACTCGAAGCCTTCAAGGGAAGCACTGGGGCAAAGGTGTGAGAAGTCAGGTGGATGGTGGGGAAAGGTTTCCATTAGACACCCTGGGAGGAATGTGAACTTTAACCTCTGTTCTGTGAAGTAAAGGAAAAAAAAGTTTTAAAAACTTTTGGGCATGCTCAAATAAGAAGCCTGTTTGGGGATTGTGGCTTGACATATTATTTGGGTGCACTTTAATTATGATTAACAACCACAAGGATTATGAGGCAGGGCCTTGCTTGGGCCAGCACTGCTCCAAGCAAACAGTGACTCCTCCCATAGTCAGCAGGAGCATTCCCTGGCTTCCTCAAACTCAAAGTCCATAGCTTCCTGCTACAAGTAGGACAATAATGCTTATATCTATTTTTGAGACCTTTGCCTCCCTTTCCTTTTCCACGTAGAGATTGTCAGAGAGGCATGGATGCTCTAATTCACATTTTACATTTCCCTTTCCTTGTTTACATAGGTGTTTATTGGCTTGCTTTAATTGATCAACAAATATTACCTTGACATTGTTTGTGTGTCCTTTGCTGGGTTAGTGTGGCAGAAGCCTGGAATTTAAGGTGAACATTTGAGGAGGTTGGAGAACAGGGGAAGCTTCCCTGTTGCTAATTAGCAGAGCCCCATCTGATCAGATTCAAATCAGGGCCTCTCATGCACAAATTGGACTACAAATGCTGCTTCTCCAGAAATGCGGGGCGTTTCTGTCCGCCCCCCCGCCCCCCAGCCTTTGACTACTGTTAATTCTGCCTGGAAAGTACTTTTGCTACCCTTTCTTTAGGACTATGGTCTTTCATACTTGGTGTTGGGGCCCTGTTTCTGGGGGTGGGGAAGATTACACCTGGGAGCTCATCTCTGGTGTCATTCCTTTAGAGAAGGCCACTAGGAGCTGGTCCCGGGGACTCTGGTTGACACAGGGCCAGCTCTTGTCCTCAGGGATCTTACAGTCACAGGAACAATAAAAGATGGCAGCTAAACTAGCCATCAGGGGCTGGGCACCAGATGCAGGTTGCTTCTCCTGGGGTTTAGGGAGGGGCCTCCTTAGATGAAGTCATCTTGCAGGTGAGCTTGACAGAAGAAAGGGAGTGTCCCGGGTGGATAAGAGGACAGGAAGGACATCTTGGCAAAGAGAATAGCTTAAGTTCAGGAGTTGAGTCTGAGTGTCGACGAGAGAGACATCCTTGTTAATTGAAGTAAAAAGCACAAGCTCTTTGATGGCTGATAACATGTGTAAATCATCCTAAGGAGAAGAACCTAAAACAGGCATGGACAAGTAAATAAGGAAAAGATAAAACCCAGCAATCTGTTCATATTTTAAAGATTCATTTTATTTATTTATTTATATTTATTTATAAATAAATAATTATTTATACAATAACTGGGGTACAGGTCAGAGGCACAGGAGGGTGAGAGGATTCATCAGAGACAGAGGTGGGGGGCCGGGCACAGAACAGGCAGACTGACCGAAAGCACTGCTGAGGGGAGCAGCGGGCAAGACAGGCGAGGTCAGCCTCGCCATGTGGAACGCTCCCTGGCGGGCCGGGAATCGAACCCGCGTTGCAGAGGCTGCGGACAGCTTCACAGCGCAGCGCTCAACCCACAGCGCCACTGGGGAGGCCCAATTTTTACATATCTTAAAATACTGAGAAAAAATTCAGTGTAGATTCTGGATGCTCTTTAGGTCTTCTTTACACTCCCTTGTATTTTAAAAATAAGTCGGTTACCCACTGCCCACGCACTTCTCCGTCTGCAGGGGGCGCACTGGCTGCCACCCTCTCTCCGCTAGGGCGATAGGCGTGACTTCTTGGTCAGTGTGGAACAATCGATTGGCTGGGTGGGCTGTCTATCACAGCGTCCCGCCCCCGCTTTACGTCACATGACGCAGCCCATCATGGCGGCGGGAGCGCGGCTGCCAGGGCCCGCGGCTCCGCAGGGCTGCTGCCGTTGCTGCTGTTGAGAGGCGGCGGCAGCGGCGCAGGCTGGGGGGCAGGTGGGAAGCATGGTGTTTCTGTGGCCAGAGTGGCGGGTGCGGACCAGGAGCCAGGCCGCGGTTTGGCTGAAGCGACGTGCGCTCAGGAGCCACCAGCGCGGGTGCCGCTGAGGCGGCGGAGAGAGGCAGGACCAACTGCCTAACTGACGGACCGAAGGCGACGGGAGAGCCGGCCCCGGGGCCGCGCTGCGGGCGAGATGCCGGGGTCGCCGGCGTGGCTGCCGTTGCTGCTGCTGCCGCTCCTGACCGCCGGCGGTGCCCGGGCCGCGCCACTTCCGCAAACAGGTGCAGGTGAGCGGGCCCGCGGCGGGGCCCGGGCGGCCGGGCGGGGGCTGCGGGGCTGCAGCGACCCGGGCGGCCGGGGAGGAGGCGGCAGGCCGGGTCTGGCCTTGGCGCCGAGGGATCGGAGGGCTGGAGGCCCGGGGAAGCGAGCGATTCGGGAGATTTCCGCCGCAGGGGCGTGGGGTGGGGGTGCAGGCTGCCTCTCAAGGGCCGAAGCGGGGGCGAGGCGATGCGGTTGGGGCGCAGGAGGGCGGCGGGCGGCTTGGCAGCGATCGACCCCTCCCGGGCGAGGCTGCAGTACGGGTTCTGGACCTGTTGCCCAAAGGTCCTCCCTCAGCCTGTATCCCTTTCCGGCAGTTCTGCTTCCCTTTCCAGATGTCATCTACCTCCTGTGCGTGTCTCACATCTTATAATAAGACCGTTTCTTAGCCTCATCATATTTAAATGCAAATTACTTGGAAAGCAGTGCGGAGTTTCCTTCGTTCCCTGCGACTTGGTCTGAAGTTGTAAATTGATTTTTGATGCTGTGCTTTTTATTTCGATCGAATCTCTGGAGATGAAGAGGAAACAACTCTATACTATATAAATAATTCTATTTTCGGAAGCCAGTGATTAGAGTAGCAGCCTTTGAATAACTATTGACAGAACCACCCAGGGGTGATTGAAGTTTCTATTTTAGTTATGTCAGTGTGTGATTTTTCTCCCCTCCCCCCGCCCCTCCCCATTTTCGTTTGTGGTTTTTTTTTTCCTAGATAAAACTTAAACCTAGGAGAGCCAAGTTGGTTCATTTTTTTTTTTTAAGGAAAAAATAAATAGGCTGATTTGCTGTTATCATCTGCTGCTTGTCTTTGAAATGAGGAGACACTGACATTGCATAGATGCAGAGAATTTTAGAATGGGAAGAGACCTTAAAGAAAATTTATTCCAGTTTCTTCGTTTTGCAGTTAAAGATATTGAGACCTTGGGGGTCAAATAACCTGCCCAAGGTGACACTGCTATGTGGTAGGCAGAGTCACAACTGGAAGCCAGGTCTTAAATTCCCCTCGTTGTGTAATTTTTTTACTTCACCACTTCAAATCATGTAACTCCTTAGGAATACTCTTGAGGTCAAGAGTTATTTTAGAATGCTGTTAATTGGGTACAGAATGTGGAAATTACTGACCCTACTAAAGACATATTTTTCAAACACATCCATAGTGGAAGATATATATATAATTGTTTCAGAGCGACACCAGGTTATGTCATTGAGTGCCCTTTAGTCGCGTATTAGCTGTTATTGCACCATATAATGTATGACTGAATGTCTGCCACTGCCTTGAATCAAATATTTGTAAGGTAGTTCTGTTTTCTGATCTGATAGATAGGAAGAGTGGATATTATTAGAACTATATCAGTGTCCCAGGTGAGAATCCCAGAAAGTAACTGGGAAGTTATGGAAGACTCTTTGGAAATCTGTTGATGTTGATATTGGAAGATGTTGCTGATGAAAATGAAAATGAGCACTAGAATAGTATAGTAGATAAAGACTATTTATTTATTTATTTTTTAAAGGGTTATTTATGCATATAAGAACTGGGGTACAGGCCAGAGGTGTGGGGACTGAGAGGATTCAGCAGAGACAGAGTGGGGAACAGAACAGGCAGATATACTGAAATCCACTGCTGAGGAGAGCAGCGGGCAAGGTAGGAGAGGTCTGCTGCACCATGTGGGTTGCTCCCTGGCGGGCTGGGGGATCGAACTCGTGCTACAGAGGCTGTGGACAGCTTCATACGTTGCGTCTTAACCCCTCGCGCTACCAGGGAGGCCTGATAAAGAGTATTTATGTGAAAGGAATTCAAGAAGTTTCCAGATGACTTTGCCCTTAGTCAAATTTCATGTATTTTGGAAAAAAAATTATAAGATCCTGTGTGTCTGTACATCTCATTCTTTTATTTTATGAAGGTAGGAATCATAAAATCTTAAGGTTTCGTTGGAGTGTTATAAAGCAGAGCGATCAGAAAAATTTATTTATGAAGAGAAATATGAAATCTTGTTAGAAAACAAAAATTGGTGGGCCTCCCCTGGTGGCACAGGCTGTTGGCACAGGCTGTCCGCACCCTCTGCAGTGCCGGTTTGATCCCAGCCGGCCATCAAGGGTCCCACATGGCACAGCAGACCTCTCCTGTCTCGCCTGCTGCTCCCCTTAGCAGTGTATTTTGTCAGTCTGCCTGTTCTGTTCCCCGCTCTGTCTCTGGTGAATCCTCTCACCCTCCTGCGAATCTGGCCTGTACCCTGGTTCTTGCATAAACAAATAAATAAATAAATAAATCTTTAAAAAAAAATGGTAATTTAAGATTTACCCCCGATTTCCCCAGAATTCAAGATTCTAATGCTTGGAGGATACTTGGTTGGATATTTGGCCTGTGAATGACAGCTTCCATGGTTTAAGTTCTGTGAAAAGATGTGCATTTACTTGTAGATCTGGGTGTTTGCCTTTCCATTCAAAAGAAATTATCCTGGAAACAGATGTATTGTTGACCAAGATGATTTAGCTCAAGATGAGTAAAGAAACATTTGAACTTATCTTGATACTTCAACTTCCAGGTTAAGAAAGAGGAACCTTTCTTGAGATGTATGGTAGATAAAAGCAATTAAACATGGAAAGCCTAATAATTCTCAAGCTTTTGATTATCTGGAGAACTGGTTAATAGTGTTCTGGAGCAAGCATGGCTTAGCAAAAATAGGTTGGAGGAAATAAGTGAATTTTATTCTTCACCAGCTTGTTTAAATGGTGAGAGATGAGGCAGTTACGTAAAATTCAACATTTAAATTGAAGTTCATGTATTCAAGATTCTTGTTATCCAAAATCATTCCTAGTTTTGAAGTTGAAAAGAGTGTTTACCTATTGGTTCATAATAAAGCTTTGTAAATATGCATATTGACTTTGTCCATCAGGCAAGAAGGCCTGTGCAGATGAGCATATTTAGTCAATCTCAAAATTTCACTAAAATTCTTGCTTGAACTTTCTTGGGCTTCTCTTTATCACTCTGGGAGTCCTTAATGTTCCCAGGGAGCCTCTTTTCCTTATCGTATGTATTTCTGTGAGGTCTCTTGTTGGTCCTCACTAGGAAGCTTACCTAAAGGGAGGAAGTCCACTGTTTTCATACACACAGTTAAGTCACCAAACTAAGGTTATAGTTAAGAAATTATTTTCTCCAGATCGTCCTCTTAGAAATCATCTCTGTGCCTTTTATAAGAGTCTCAAGATTCACATCATAAGGAAAAATCTTGTACTTATCTGTGTGAAGGCACTCCTCTAAGTTTGTTATTAATATTAGGCTAGTGGTTAGACAGGGAAACCCGCTTCTATTGTTCTGTGGCATATTAGGTCACAGAGTACAGAGGAAGCTTTTAGCAGCTCCAGATAAAGGACCTCACGGAAGTCTATGAAGCCGGTGGGACTCAACTACTGATTAAACAGCAGCTTATGAAACCCGGGCTCTCATTTTTAAAAATTAAACAGACATCTTGAAAAAATTTTCTGGAGGTAAAGGAAGTGCTTTCTAAAGTGTGAATTTTTGTGTTTATTTTTAATAGCTTCTGAGAAATAAAATTATTTTCAACAGGCTTTCATGCAAATTTCAGGATTTATGGCTATCAAGTTTGAGATTTGATTCAGGTTAGTAATGCTATAATTGCTGTCATGTGGTGATATTTTGGGGCTAACTAAATATGCTCATTTGCACAGTAATAGGAAGTCTGTCTAACAGTTTTGTAGCTGATCAGCTACAACTCAAGTTTATCAGTTTTACTGATACGGATGTGCTGACTGTTCATGCAATTCCCTTGAGATGTAGAGTCCGTGAACCCTCTGTGTTCCCTGTGGGACTTAGATAACAGCTGTACGTATAATAAAGAGTATATCCAGGCTTCTTTTTATTTCTTTGATAAACTTTTAAATTTTCTGATATTGTTGTTTATTTTTGTACAGTGTTTGGTTTTCCCCCTTAGGTGTAGTCCCTGTAAATCCCCCACTACCATATCACCTGTAAACTGTCACCATCATCCCTTGTGCTCTTCCCTCCCCTGTTTTGACCACTCTTCCTCTCCCTCTCCTTCTGGATGCCTCAGATCTATGGTCAACTTGCAAGTTTTGTCTTTTTTTGGCACTTTATTCAGTTTCTCTGTATTCCTCCTAAAAGTAATACTATCTGATAATTTTCTTTTTCCTTCTGATTTACTCCACTGTGCATGATCCCTTCCAGCTCCATCCATGTTGCTGCAAATGGTATGAGTTTATTTTTTTGATTGCTTAGTAGTATTCTATTGTGTATGTATATCACATCTTTTTTTTTTTTTTTATAGAGGCATGTTTTTTATTTATTTATTTGCTTGTTTGTTTGTTTTGTTTACACAAGCACTGGGTACAGTCAGAAGCGCGGGAGGTTAAGAGATTTCTCCAGAGCCAGAGCGGGGAGCAGAGCAGGCAGAAGGACCGAAGTACACTGCTGAGGGGAGCAGCGGACGGCAGGAGAGGTCTGCGCGCCATGTGGAACCCTCCTCTGGTGGCAGGGGAGCAGCCGGGGATCGAACTGGCGCCGCAGAGGCCGCGGGCAGCTTCGCAACCCAGCGCTCAACTGCTGTGCCACCGGGGAGGGCCTGTATATCACATCTTTATCCATTTATCTGTTTGGGGGCATTTAGGTTGTTTCCGTAGCTTAGTTATTGTAAATAGTGCTGCAGTAAACATGGGAGTGCAGATTTCCTTTCAAGTTAATGTTTTGTGTCCTTTGGGTAGATCCCTAGGAGTGGAGTTGCTGGGTCTTTTGGTAGATCCATTTTTAGTAATTTGAGGATCCTCCACATGGCTTTCAATAATGGTTGTGTCCAGGCTTCTGAAAAAGTTAAGTGAGTCCTAAAAAAAGTTCTCCAACTTTTCACTTCAGTTGAGAGGAAAATTCATGAACCAACCATAGGAGAAGAGCCAACCATAGGAGAGGATGTTGTACCCAAAATGTGGGCTTTGGAGT